CCAAAACCAGAGGGCATAGGTTTAAGGTGAGACAGGAAAGATTTAAAAGGGATTTCAGGGGCAACTTTTTGTATACAGAGGGTTGTGTGCGTATGGAATGAGTTGCCATAAGAAGTGGTAGTGGCGGCTACAATTACAACATTTAAAAGACATTTTCATGACGAAGAAAGGTTGAGAGGGATATGGGCCTAATGCAGGCAAATGGGACTAAATCAGTTTAGGATATCTGGTTGGCGTGGACGAGTTGGTCTATAGGGTCTGTTTCTGTGCTGTATGACTATGCTGAGCTTCACTGTTATATTCAAAAGTTTGATTTTCATTAAAAAAAATGAAAGTACTGCGGATGCTGTAAATCAGGAACAAAAACAAAGTTGCTGGAAAAGCCCAGCTTGTCAGGCAGCATCTGTGAAGGAAAAAACAGAGTTAACGTTAGGGGTCCGGTGACCCTTCCTCAGAACTGATGGTGACTGGGAAAACATCAGTTTATATACAGAAAATAGGGAGGAGGGTAGGGTAGGGAGTAAATGATAGGATAGAGCCCAAAGAGGGAGCGCGAGCGAGAGCGACAGTTGGACAGACAAAGAGTTGATAATGATCGGGCTTGGAAGGTGAATAGTTGTTAATGGGGACTGCTAGTGACTAACAACAGGGGGTGTGTAATGGCAGTCTATGTGGTAACAAGGCCTGGTGGGTGGGGTAGGGGGCTGGGACATGGAAGAGTTTAGGCCACAAAATTATTGGGCTCAATATTGAGTCCGGAGGGCTGTAGGGTCCCCAAGCAGAAAATGAGGTGTTGTTCCTCCAACTTGTGTTCGGCTTTGCTGGAACACTGCAGCAAGCCAGAGACAGATATGTTGGCCAGGGACCAGGGAGGTGCATTAAAGTGGCAGGCAACAGGTAGTTGCCTATTGATACTAGATCTGCTCCAAACACATGGAACAATTAGCATTTGAGAGAAGTTTGCACATATTGGCATAGTTGTCCAGATTATTGAAGGTAGAATTACTCTGGATTAAATATTAGATTGTTTTTCCAAAGAAATAGTCTATAGATACATACTAATGCTTATGACTTATAAAGATGTTTTGATTTGATTTATTATTGTCACATGTGCTGAGATAGTGAAAAATATTATTTTACATGCTATTCAGGCAGATCATATCTTACATAAGTACAACAGAATAATGGAACCAAATGCCGAGTACAGTGTTATAGCTACATAGAAGGTGCAGAGAGATATCAACTTGAATATTAGAGAGGTCCATTCCAAGGTCTGAGAACAGTGGGAAAGAAGCTGTTCTTCAATCTGTTGATACATTTTCAACCTTTTGTATCTTCTGCCCAACAGAAGAGGGTGGAAGAGAGTCTGACTGGGCTGGGAGGGGCCTTAGATTAGATAGGCTACTTTGAGGCAGCAGGAAGTATGGACAGAGTCAATGGAAGGAAACCTGCTTTGTGATGGTATACTGCATCCGCTGTACCCGGTGTGGCTTCCTCTACATCGGGGAAACCAAGCGGAGACTCGGGGACCGCTTTGCAGAACACTTACGCTCGGTTCGCAACAAACAACTGCACCTCCCAGTCGCGAACCATTTCAACTCCCCCTCCCATTCCTCAGACGACATGTCCATCCTGGGCCTCCTGCAGTGCCACAACGATGCCACCCGAAGGTTGCAGGAACAGCAACTCATATTCCGCTTGGGAACCCTGCAGCCCAATGGTATCAATGTGGATTTCACAAGTTTCAAAATCTCCCCTCCCCCTACCGCATCCCAAAACCAGTCCAGCTCGTCCCTGCCTCCCTAACCTGTTCTTCCTCCCACCTACCCCCTCCTCGCACCTCCATCTCCTACCGACCAACCTCATCCCGCCCCCTTGACCTGTCCGTCCTCCCTGGACTGACCTATCCCCTTCCTAACTCCCTACCTACACTCACCTTTACTGGCTCCATCCCCGCCTCTTTGACCTGTTTGTTTCCTCTCCACCATCCCTCTTCTATCCGCCTCCCACTCTCTCCCTATTTATTTCAAAACCTCCTTCCCCTCCCCCTTTTCTGATGAAGGGTCTAGGCCCGAAACGTCAGCCTCTCTGTTCCTCGGATGCTGCTTGGCCTGCTGTGTTCATCCAGCCCTGCACCTTGTTGTCTCGTGTAATAAACATATTGTCTGCATCAGTATAACATTTTTACTGTTTATACCACAGATGTCCTGGATTACTAAAACAGTTGGGCTGGAATTTGCAAATTTTTATAAGAATATATAATTTTATACACTTTATGTTTGAACACATCTAAATCAATACAGCCAGTGGAATAAGTATTATTTAAATTCCTGCATTTTACTGCATATTGTAAAACTATTTCAGAGCTAGGATTTTCCTTTCCTATTTTGTGTACTAAGTTTAGAGACTTTCTTACAGCAGATGTGTAAAATGTGTATTTTGTGCCCATGGGAATGGAACTGAAGCAAAACTGTGCCATAATAAAATAAGCAACCAAACAGATTAAGGGACGTACAGTTCAACTGCAGTGGGTCATTATGCTAAATGCAGTTCAGTCCTGAATGCTGACATGGAAAACCAATTTTCTTTCATAGTAGAAACAAAGTGTTAAATAAATCAATACTGAATTCACACATTGTAGCTCACCTATTTTCATCTGCAGTGGGGATGGCTTGTAATTCATTGCCACAGATTCGCTCTCTCGGGTGTCACACTCACCTTCAGAGATGGAGGTGGCCGTAGGATCCTGTTTAGGATGACAAAGTATTATTATTATTATATCATTCAGTCTAAAAGTATGTTCAGCAATATTGTAAAAAATCGTGCCAAGAATAAATGACATAATGGTGGCACCGCTTCTTCAGCCTATATAACCAGACAAATTGTGGAGCATAGTAACGTGAGCTGAATTACCATATTTAAAAAAAACATTCACAAGATGGGAGGATTGCTGACTTAGGCAGCATTTATTGCCAATCCCCAAATGCCCTTGAGAAGGTGGCAATGTGCGGCTTTCTTGAACCACTGCAGGACACGTGGTGTAGATACATCTACTATGCTGTTAGGGAAATTAATCAAATTAACAATGATTTTCAGAGAAAAACTGGAGTATGCCATTCAGCCCCTCGTGCCTTTTAAACAGATCTTAGTTGATCTGTGCTGCAAAATTATATGTCTGCACTTGTTCAATGCTCTTGGAACCCTTAACTAAAAGCAATAGCACTGTTCTCAAGAAAGGCCATTGATCAAAGATGTTAACTCTTTTTCTCTCCACAGATGTTGCTAGACCAGCTAAGTATTTCAAACATTTTCTGCATGTATTTGAAACTTCCAATAACTGTAGTATTTTATTTGCGCAAGATCCAATGTCCTATCAACTGTAATCATTTTTGGGAAAGTTCCATATATTTCTAATAACATTTTTGTTGTTATTTTTGGGTCCTCACTACTGTTCCCAGCACATTGTCAAGTCCTGTGCTTCAGAACTTGTTGCACCACTCGCCTGGCTGTTGCAGTACAGTTACAGCACTGACCTCTACCCTACTGTGCTAAAAATTGCCTGGATATGTTCTGTTCACAAATGTAGGACAAATTCAACTCTGCCAATTACCACCCTATCAGTCTACACTCAAATCAGTAAAGTGATCAAAGGTGTCATTAACAGTACTATTAAGCAGCACTTGCTTAGCAACAACCTGCTGAGTGACACTCAGTTTGGGTTCCGCCAGCCCTCTTGTTACAGAGGAGGAATGGCCAAACTCCTTTGATAATTAAACCAAAACACAAGTCCCAATCTGCTATGGCGGGATTAGAAGTTTCCTTCCAATAATTACCTCCGAAACACCTAGAGAAGCTTGCCTTTCCCCTCGTAATCTATTAAAAGAGTGGTTAAAAGAAAAAAAATCCCTGATCTCCACTTTTCAAGTAACAAGAAACAATTTATTTATTTAACCCAGTGAACAAATTAACAGAATTACTAACAAACACTAACAAACCGACAATTCTCCCTTAGCCTATTAACTATTTCCTCACTGTTCTAAGTTCTACTGGCATACCGTTCAAATAAACACAAGTGCCACTTAATAATCACAATTAATAAGAGAACAATGAATTATAAAACTTAACCTCTCCAAGTTCGCACAGACCGTCTTCTAGAATATTCTGTCATCTCCGTTCTCTTCACAAACACCTTTCTTCCGCTAATTCTGCTGTCAGGGAGGTTTTCTCTCTAATTTCTTCAATAAGGACTTCGAGCTAAAATACCATGGTAGCTTTGATTAATTAGATGGGCTTTCTCCGAGAGCTGAATGGTGCTAACTCTGGCATTTGGCGGTTGGATCTCCCTAATCTTCCAAATGCCCTCGTCTTATATAACTGTAATGATATAATCAAATTCTTAAAGTATGATTGGTTTCAAGTTGTCAACACCATCAGATTTAAAGTCAACTGGCTTTCTAAATGAAACACCTACATATAAATTGATTTGCCGAATTTGAACTTGTTGTCTTGGAAAAAAATGCTGCTTAGCTGTTCTATACAAAATGTTTCCATTCAGGATAACAAGGTGTGGAGCTGGATGAACACAGCAAGCCAGGCAGCATCAGAGGAGCAGACCCTTCTTCCAGACCCGAAACATCAGCTTTCCTGCTCATCTGACGCTGCCGTGTTCATCCAGCTCCACACCTTGTTATCTCAGACTGCAGCATCGGCAGTTCCTACTATCTCTTACCATTCAGGAACTCTGTGCATCTGCATTTATAAACTTCCAAGCACAGACAAAGCACAAGCTCTTAAAAAGGGACCTCGGCACTCTTTTCCCTATGATTATTTTTACCAACAAATTCTAACTTTCTGCCTTCCAATTCATGAATAGTCTACCCAACTTTGTAACACTCTCTACAGTCTTGGTTCAAACATCGACAAAAGAGCTGAATTCCAGAGGTGAAGTAAGAGTGACTCCCCTTCATCAAGGCCATATTTGACTTAGTGAGCCATCAAGGAGCCCAAGCAATTCTGAAGTCAATGGGAATGGGTTGCGGGGGGGGGAGCGGGGTGGTGCTCTCTGCTGGTTGTAGTCATACCTGGCATGAAGGAAGATGGTTGTGGCTGGTGAAGGTCAGTCATCATGGCTCCAGGGCATTTTGTAGAAAACTCCCTGAGGAATTCCTAAGTCCAACTATCTTCAGATGCTTCATCAATGACCTTCCTTCCATCATAGGGCCAGCGGTGGGGATATTCGATGATGATTGCACAAAATTCAGCACAATTTATGACTCCTCATATATTGAAACAGTTTGTGTCCAAATGCAAGGAAACCTGGACAATATCCAGGCTTGGGATGAAAAGTGGAAAGTAACATTCACACAACACATATGCCAGGCAATTACCGTCTCCAATGAGTGAGAAGCTAACTACTGTCCTTGACATTCAGCGATGTTACCAATAGAATTTCTGTTTTCAGGAATCATTGAATTTACAACTAACAACATTTTGGGGTTACCGTTGACTAAGAACCTTAGCGGACCAGCCACACACTGGCTACAAGGGCTCACTTCCTGACTTTCCCAAGCCTGTCCATCATTTAGAAAGGTAGAAGTCAGGAGTGTGACGGAATACTCCCCAATTGCCTGAATAAGTGCAGCTCCAACAAGAAGCTTGACACCACCCAGGACAAAGCTGCCTACTTGCTTTGGACCACACATTCACTCTCTCCAACACCAGCTCCCAGTAGCAGCAGTGTGTATCATCTACAGGATGCATTACAGAAATGCACCAAAGCTCCTTGAACATCACTTTCCAAACCCATGATGACTTCTGTCTGGAAGGCCAAGGGCACCAGATACATGAGAACATCATCATTCCCCTCCAAGTCACTTGCCATCCTGACTTGGAACTATATCACAACTCCTTCAGTGTTACTGGGTCAAAATCTTGGAACTCTCTCCCCAATGCCACTGTGTGTCTACTTCAAAACATGGACTGAAGCAGTTCAAGACGGCAGCTCACCAATAGTTTCTCAAGCGCAACTACAGATGGCCCAGCAGCTCACATCCAGGTCCCTCTGCATATCAATACTCCTAAGGATTCTGCCATTCATTGTATAAATTTCAACAGTACTTGAGCTTCCAAAATGCATCATCTCAAATTTGTCCAGATTAAACTCCATCTGCCATTTTTCTGCCCATACCTCCAACTGATTTGTATCCTGCTGTATCCTCTGACAATCCTCCTCACTGTCCACAACTCCATCAATCTTTGTATTGTCTGCAAACTTGCTAATTAGACCAAATCATTTATCTAGATCACAAGCAGCAGGGGTCCAGGCACTGATTCCTGTGGAACACCACTAGTCACAGTCCTCCATTCCAAAAGCATGCTTCCACCGCTACCCTCTGTCTCTTATGACTAAGCCAGTTCTGTATCTATCTTGCCAGCTCACTCCTGATACCATGTGACTTCACCTTTTGCACCAGTCTGCCATGAGGGACCTTGTCAAAGACTTACTGAAGTCCATGTAGACATCAACCCCTTTTCCCTCAATCATCTTCGTCACCTCAAAAAAACTCACTCAATCAAGTTAGTGAGGCACAACATCCCCCGCACAAAACCATGCTGTCTATTGCTAATAAGTCCATTTGCTTCGAAATGCGTATAGATCATGTCCCTGAGAATCTTTTCTAATAATTTCCCTACTGCTGATTTGAGATTTACAGGCCTGTAATTTCCAAGATTATCTATGCTACCCTTCTTAAACAACGGGACAACATTGGCTATTCTCCAGTCCTCTGGGACCTCATCTACAGCCAAACAGGATACAAAGATGTGTGTCAATGCTCCAGCACTTTGTTCTCTTGCCCCCCTCAATATTCTGGGATAGATCCCATCAGGACCCAGGGACTTATCTACCTTAGTACTTTTTAAGACTCTCAACACCTCTTTCTTTTTAATAGCGACTTGGCTCAGAAACTCAACACTCCTCTCCCCAAGATCATCTTCCACCAATTCCTTCTATTTGATGAATACCGACACAAAGTGTTCATTTAGGACCTCACCTACCTCTTCTGACTCTACACATAGATTCCCTCCTTTGTCCTTGAGTGGACCGACCTTTTCCCTGGCTATCTTCTAGCTTTTGATATATGTATGGAAAGCCTTGGGATTCTCCTTAATCCTGTTTGCTAATGACTTTGCCTGACCCCTTTTAGTCCTTCTACTTCCTTGTTTAAGTTCTTTCCTACTTTCCTTATATACTTCAAGGGCTTCATCAGTTTCCATCCTCCTAGACCTTACGTATGCTTCCTTTTTCTTTTTGACCAAGGTCATAACATCCCTGGTCATCTAACTCAATATGTAGACATACATACTAGAGAAGTAGTGAAACTTGACCTTCTTTTGGGAAATAAGGCAAAGCAAGTGACTGAGGTTACTGGGGGAACACTTTGGGACTAGTGGCCATATTTCTAATAGTGGTAAAATAGTTATGGAAAAGGATAGGCCTGGTCTAAAAAAGTTAAAGCTTGAAATGGAAGCAAGGCAAATTTTGATGGTATTACACAAACTTTCAAAAGTTGATTGGGGAGACGATTCACAGGTAAAGACATGACTGGGAAGTGGGAGGCATTCAAAAGAGAGATAATGAGAGTTCAGAGACAGTATCGTCCTGTTAGTGTGATGGCAAGGCTGGTAGGAACAGGCTACACTTGAATATTGTAGCTCTGGTCAAGA